CCCTCCCCCTCTTTCTCCCCCTCTCCTTCTCTCTCTCTCTCTCTCTCTCTCTCTCTCTCTCTCTCTCTCTCTCCCTTTTTACTACCTTTCACCTTTCCCCCCTCCTCCATGGCTTCCTCCCCTCATTTTCCAGTTTTTCCTTGTCTCACATCACTTTCTCCTCCTCCTCCCCTCCCCTTCTCCCTTCTTATGATTCCTTTTCTCCATCATCTTTATCCTTCCCTCCTTCCTTTTACTCTTCCTCCTCCACTTCTTTCCCTCTCATGTGCTTTCTCCTTTATAATTAACCCCTCTAATACCTTTAAATTTTAAACATCCGTCACTATTTAATAGAGTCAACCTACATGTGATTAACCATGCGTAGAATTTCCGTTTATTCTGGGAGAGTTCTTCAGCATGTCCTCCACACTCCTGATTAGATTTTCTCCAGTGTTCAGATGATTTTCAACTATGTTAATGAGTATATAAATTATATTCCTGTGTTTTTATTTCCACTTATCCTTTCTTCCTCTCACTCTGTTAGTATCTCCTTTATTTCTCAGCCACTGTTTATGGCAAGAGTCCTTACTATAATGAATTATACCTATAGAGAAACAGATATTTAAGACATTTTACTTCATTTTCTTAACATATGTTTTCTAATTATGTGTTTGGAATATTTAATGCAGTGTAGTTTAAGTGCATTTATACATTATTTTAAAGTGCTGAATCCTTTCTTTATGCCTTCATGCTGTTGTTCTTGATGTTCAGTTTGCTATTTCTTGATTCTGAGCTCTTTCCAGAAACAGGCAGATAGGGTCCCCTTAGGTCACCCAGTAGTAGACTGGCTCCAGGTCGACGCATCCTCCCGGGATGGAGCCCTGGCTTAGGTGTATAGGCAGAGGCTGAGCGGTAGCTGCGATGCCAGCCTGGCCTCAGTGGGAAACTTTCCCTTTGGAGTTTTGTCCTAGGGACAGAATTTCTGTTTCTAGAGTTATGATTGATGCAGCCTTTCAATAGTAAGAACAGCCGTAGTGAAGCTGTGTTACCCTCCTTCCTACATTTCTATTTTCTGTATCAGAGACAAATGCCAGTGACTGGGGTTTGTGTCCACTGTTCCCTGCAGAGCCCAGAGGAAACAGGGCCCCCCCGTCATTGTGACTGTGAGCTGCTCTGCCTGTGTAGGTATAAAATAAAATCCACCGAGATGACACACCTTCAGAAAACACGATATCCCTGGCTGGTGTGGTGCGTGGGCTGGAGCGTCATCCTGCACACTGAAGGGTTGCAGGTTCGATTCCCACTCAGTCCATATACCTAGGCTGTGGATTCAGTAGGTTTCTGGAAAGATGAATGGTGGGTCTTTGTCTTCCAGTGACATATCTTTCTTATTAATCCAAATGATCTTCAACCTATACATTCTCAAACTAATAGAAAACTATTCAATAATAATTGTGACCCCCCCTTTAAAATACTAATAGTTACTTTACATCTAAATATTTTATTCTTTATTTTGTTAATGTGATGTATTTCACTGACTGATTTATAGATGTTAAATGATCTTTGCATCTCTAAGATAAATCTCACTAGGACATGGTGTATAATCCTTTTAATGTATTGTCAAATCTGGTTGCTAACATTTTGTTGATAATTTTTGCATCTATATTCATCAAGGATATTGGCCTATAATTTTCCTTTTTCTTTTTTTAATGTCTTTGGTTTTGCTATCAGGAAAATACTGGCTTTGTAGAGTGAATTTATAGTCATTCTTCCCTCTTTGATTATTTGAAAGGAGCTTTTTCTTGTGCACACACATCTACACATTTTCAGAGGGGAACATAAAATAAAAAAACTGAACTCACCGGTAGTCTAATTTATCCCAAGTTATTTTTCCTTTCAATCATCTTGATGTAAAGAAATAACCACTATTCCATAAAACTTGCTGTAAACTTTTTATAAAGTGATGTTTTGTTTTTTTTGCAGTTTTATGGTGAATAAAAAATCTAGATGACCTTGGGTTTGGTGATGACTTCTTAGATTCAACATCAAAAGAACAATCAATAATAAATTGGTAAGTTAGACTTCATTACAATAAAAACAATTCTGTGAGAAAGACACTTAAGAAAATTAGAAGACAAGTCACAGATTGTGAGAAAAATCTTTGCAAAATACTTATTAGGTAAAAGATTATATCCAAAATATATAAAGAACTATTTAAATAGTAATGAAGAAAACAACCTATTTTTTTTAATGAGCAAAAAGAAAAATGAACAGACACTTCACCAAAGAAGATATACATATGGCAAAAAAAGCAGATGAAAAGGTGCTCAATAGCATGTAACATTAGGGAATGGAAAATAAAACAAAAATAAGATACCACTACACACCTGTTAGTATGGCCACAATGCAAAATACTGACACCACCAAATGCTGGTGAGATTGGGAAGCAACAGAAACCCTCTTTTATTGCTGGTGGGAATTCAAAATGGTATAGTCGCTTTAGAAGAAAGTTTAACAGTTTCTTGGAAAACTAAATGAACTCATACTCTGTAGCCCAGTAGTCATGCTCCTTGGTATTTATATAAATACATATGAATACATATGAACACAAAAACATTCACATAAATCTTCAT